ACTGTGGACAGGTTATCCAAAGGCGGACACTTTGTACCCTTACCAGCGAACTTCACTGCCGCCCGAGTTGCCAAAGCATTCTGGGAATCTACGGGAAAGCTCTATGGGTTTCCAAAAACCATCATCTCAGATCGTGATCCGATCTTTCTCAACAACTTTTGGCGCGCACTGTTTGAACTTCAAGGCACCAACCTGCGTTACAGTTCAGCATATCACCCACAAACCGACGGACAAACTGAAAGAGTAAACAGATGTCTAGAGCAGTACCTTCGAGCCTTTGTCCACGAGCATCCGACCCACTGGTCACGGATCCTGAGCTTTGCAGAGTTCCATTTTAACACCTCCTTCAACAGATCGACGGGGTATACACCGTTCGAAATCACGTTTGGTATCCCTCCACCAAACTTGTTAACATATTGTCTTGGATCCAGCTCCTTGGAGGCCATTGACACAGATCTGTCACACAAAAACAAAATCATGGAACATTTGAAGCGAAATCTAAATCAGGCTCAAACAGCAATGAAGGTTTACAGCAACAAAACACGCAAGCCATGGGAGTTCAAGGAAGGAGATCAGGTTCTACTTAAACTACACCCTTACAGACAGATCACGGTTCAGAAACGTACCTCTCAGAAGCTCGCTCTCCGATACTACGGTCCGTTTGCGGTGCTGCAACGCATCGGTCCAGTCGCCTACAAGCTTCAGCTTCCACCATCTTCCAGGATACACCCGGTGTTTCACGTTTCCCTCCTCCGCCCGTTTGTCTCGCCCACCGCGTTTAAAGTTCACGATCTTCCACCTCACACGCAGGACAACAAACCCCTTCACCGGGCAGTAGCTATCCTCGGAGAAAGGGAGGTTTGGAAAAAAGGTAAGCTAGTTAAGGAAGTCTTGGTCCAGTGGACCGACGGTGCACCAGAAGATTCCTCATGGGAGGAAGACACGGTTCAGGCGAGGGAGGAAGCAGAGGACATAGCTCATGAAAGTGGAGAAGAGGATAGCTTGGCTCAAGCTCGTGGAGAAGATGAAGAGCTGAGCCAACCAAGGGATGAGGTACCAAAGACAAATGACGGACAGCTTCCCTTACCCCCACCCATTATGCATGCCTCGGACACACTGACCGAGAAGATTATGACACCCCAAGTCCCTCAGGCCACGCAGCGCGCAGCTATTGGTCGCCAATCTACTGAAATCCTTATCCATGAGGACGTGGATATTTCAAAAGGGGAAGGAGATGTTGTGGTCCAGCCCACCAGAGCACATCCCACACGTATGCGGACCAGCCCAAGATACTTGGATGAATATCTCACATGAGCCAAGCCCATAGTGCAGTCTGTTTTGCTTTAAATAAAATACGCAGCTTAACTGCATTTAGAAGATTAATTGTTTCAATTCCTATTTTTAAGCATTTGTTATTTCCTTCGTAATTTAGAATTTGTTATTTTTCCTTCATAATTTAGGATTGGTTGTTACAAAAACCTTACTCATTTAAATTCTAAACTAGGCTTTGCATTTTCTTTAAATATGGTAATTCAAACCTCAAAAGGGATCAGAGTTGTTTGACAATAATCTCATCTCTCTCTCTTCCTATTCGTTCTCCCTTCTATTCTTTCCTCTTCCCTCTACAAAGTGTCACTTGTTGAATGACAGATATATCTACTACAAATGTACAGAACACGATTTTCCAAGTTACAAGACAGATGGAACTTTTTCACCATGCCCAGGAAGAGCCTAATATTGTGATTCATTTGGGCTACAATCCAAGTGAATTTCAAATATCATTTTGGATTAAGAAATTTGCATGACTGTAAAGACACAATTGCTGTGATGTACTTTCACTTATTAAACAATAATCCTTACAAATTCAGCTTGACACAAAATCAGTTTAGCTTGTACATACTTCAAATTAAACCCACGACGTAAGCACTAATATAATTCACATCTATAACTAGTGGAGTCCAATGATATTCATTTCAATCACTTCTTTTCTGGACTCATATAATGGACCTCATATGTTGTTGGAGATTATGAATTTTATCCATTATAAAGTAAACTCCTTTATAAATATTGGGTTTAACCGCAAACGCAAGACTTCTGAAACCATAGCCTCCCTTACCGTTATTATACTAATGCATCACCTCCATTGACTTCAAGCCTCCTCATTATGCACAACGATTTGCCACTATTTGCAATTATATGTTCCATAGATCAGTTAGGATCTCTTGCATCTAACAACTTCAAACACAAAATAATATAAAAAAATTTCGAATCTATTCTAAAGTTATACCTCACAAAAGAATCAAAATAATTGTTTCTCATCGACAATTATCATTATCAATGTAGTTGATACTGAGTACATCTAATCCAGTAATAAACACTTCGGTGTGTTTTTTTTCTAGTGGAATCAAAAATGGATGATTCACATATTCACAAGCCCCCTCCCCCCAAAAAAGATGATTCATGCTTAGACATGGGTTCTTGATAAGGACTGCGTGGTGCATGAATCTCGAACCCCAATAATATTATCTTAAACAAGCACGCAGTAGAATCCTCTAGTTTCTTTCCCCCCTTAAAAAAATTAGAAATAATAAGAATGATACAAACTTGAGAAAACTTGTTCGTTTTATACGGAAGATTAAAAGAAAAATTACATGAATAAATTTGGGTTTTATTTAGGTTGTATACTCAATATAGATAAAAAAGATTCTGTTTTATATAATATAATAAGAAAAAAATGTGTGTCGTTTTAAATGACACAAAGTTAGACCATTTTGAGAGAGGGATAAATATAAATTATAGGAGAGAGAGCTGTTTGATTGTGTTCTGGTTTTTTGTTCTTAAAACTGTTTTGTAAAATAGTTATGGAAACCGTTGTTTTCTATATTTATTTCTTTTTGAAAGGTAAAAACCAAAACAGAAAACAAAAACAACTCAGACATGTTCTCTAAATTTGATTTTAAAAACAAAAAAACAGTTATAGTTTTCAAAACATTTTTTTACAAAACAGGTCTTACCAAACGAGTTTTTTAATTTTTTTGTTCTGAAAACTAAAAAACTATTTTGCAAAACAGAAATCAAACAGACCCTTTGTTTTCCTCTCTCTCTCCAATGATCTATCACTATCTCCATCTTAAAATGATCATATTTTTAAATGACACACACTTTATTCATATAATAATAATAATAACTGTTCAGAGGTAAATACCAATGTCTAACGTGAAAGCTAATACTTGTTATGGTGATGGTAGTTAGAGCTGGCAAAATGGGCCGAGCCCGCCGGGCCGGCCAGCCCCGCCCGCCAAACGGGGCGGGGCGGGCTGAGTTTTCTAAACCCGCTGCCCGCCAGCCCGCCCGAGCTATTTTTTTTTTTTTTTTTTAATTTTTAGTGTAAAATGTGACGGGCTTGGCGGGGCGGGCAGAGATATCTAGTCCACCTTCAATGGCGGGGCGGGGCGAGTCAGCCCGCTTTTTGGCGGGCAGGCCGCTTTGCCACCTCTAATGGTAGTGGCTTAAAGCAATAACTCCCGGATGATGGTTGTGGATATGAGAAGGTCATGGACAAGCCCACGGTCGAGCTGACGGGCTGAAGCTCAGTCCAATAAAGTCTTATCCAAGTAGGAAGCCTTACCTCGCCTCAAGTCCTGTGATCCGAGATCATACCGAAAGAATAATAGTTATATATATTTTTAAAGGGATTTATTAATTTCCTCTAATAGAAGATAACTTGCATCATGTATAGAAACAAGTTATGTGGGTCCCACCATTTTTAAAAAATAAAAAAAGAATGGCAGAACTTTTTATGCCTCACTAGCATAAGATAATTATCTTCTATAAAATAAGACAATTTAAACTCATTTTTAAAATATGAAATTTAATATTTTCGCTTAAATGATTTGTAATTTCTTCTTAGTATCCAGTAAATTAAAATAATCTGTATACATGTATGATTTGTAAAGCTTCTAAATATGTGCATGAAGCCGAGATCAAAATTCATAGCATAAAAATTAGGGAAAACTTTTTCTTATGTTGAATGAGAATTCAACTCTCATGTTAGTGACCCTTTGATTTGCGTGCAAAGTTTTTTTTTTTTTTCTTTTTTTAATAAATATGAGGTCTACCACTAGTTGAGTCACAACATGAGAATTGAATTCTCATGCAACATGAGAAAATCAAATCCCTAAAAATTAAGTGATGGTAGATGAGTTACCGCATTGGAGTTGAGTAGGCGGGGTGAAAGCTATGTGTTTGATTTTTTCCAGTACCATCGTAGCCAACGGCAGAGCTAGAAGTAAAATCCAGTTGGTGCCAAAAGACTCAACCAGGTAGAATTCAACCAGTGCTAATGTTGTATTATTTTAAAACTCAGCTAGTGTTAAGATTGTATCATAATTTTTAAAGAAGATTTATATCATTTTTAAAAATTAGCTGGTGTCAAAACACCACCTAAGTAACAAGTGGCTCTGCCACTGATCGTAACTCAGTTAGCGCATGAGAGCTGAGCAGGTGGTGGGAGTGAGATGTGTTTCCATATCATATTTGGGAGGAATTTAAAATTTTAATCTTGGATCCGTCTTGAATAAAATTCTCTCCATCAAGAATACATGTGGTTTAATAATAATAATAATAATAACACGTTATAAAAAGGAGATTCGCGTAACAGAATCCAAATTAGTATATGACTTCTGCTGCATATAAAGGTTATCTTGCATCATGGTAACTATTTTTGCCCATTTTTGGAATTTTCCCAAAGAAGGAATGTTATTGGATTGAGTTCAGAGAGAGTTGGAAACTTATCATGGTACTGCAAGTGTTATGTTACATTACCCCACAAAATCAAACAGTGAAACACGACACAAAAGAACGGTTAAGTTATCGCGGTTGGTTGGGTTTTTCCCATTCGTCAAATCCCATTCGTTGATCCTACGATCATATCTCTTTCTATTAATGCTGAAGTCATCCTTCTCTGCAAGCCATCCCTTATCCTCTCTCTCTCTCTCTGTCTCTCTCTCTCTCTCTCTCTCCACAAGTGGGTACATACTTTTGCATTAAAAAAAGTACATAATAATGGCTTTTTCCTTTCTCTTTGTGGATCAAGACAAAGCAACAACAGCAGCAAAATCTTCCCATATCAGGAAACTCCCCTTTCTGTCTTCCTTCCCCATCTCTTCCAAAACTCATGGAAGGCTCTGTCATTGAACGTCTTGATTTTGGGAAGATGGGATACGGGTACTTTTTCTTCTTCTTCTTCTTTTGTTCTCTCTTTTTTCTTTTTTTAAATAAAAGTTTTTAGTTTTCATTCATTGGGTTCCAATTTCCTAGCTTTTTCATGATTTTGATGACATTTGTTTGATTGGTAGGTGCAAGCATTACAGGAGAAGATGCAGGATTCGAGCTCCTTGCTGTAATGAGGTCTACACTTGCCGTCATTGTCATAACGAGGAAACGGTATTCCTTTGTTCTTTTTCCTTCGTTTTCTTCTGTGTTTCACATCAAAAATCTCGTCTTTTTGCTTTTATCTGATCTGGGTCCGTGTTATTCACCTAATTAGAGCATGCTGAGCAACCCTTTTGATCGGCATGAACTCGTTCGGGACGATGTTGAACATGTAAGGATAAATGGACCAACCCTGATTTTCTTTTTCCACGCTGTCTTGGTTATTGTGTCATTAACATTATATGGTAAGACTCATATGGTTTTTAACATTTTATTGTTGTTTCAGGTTGTTTGTTCGGTTTGTGACACAGAGCAGCCAGTGTGTATCCATTCCCAGTTTGATTAGAACCTCTCTTTTTTTTTTGGTTTTTGCTTCTTCTTTTTCTCTTATTTTTTCTTTCATTTGTTTCTTTTGAAGGTTGCTCAAGTTTGCACAAACTGTGGCGTCAGAATGGGAGAATATTTCTGCGACATCTGCAAATTCTTCGATGATGATGTAATGACTCACTGAATAAATCTGCAGCATCTGATTGAATTTGTGTCTTCAATATGATCATGTTACTTCTATTTTTGGTTCTTCATACTTATTAGAGATGGACTGAGAATTGATATTTGGTGTTTAATCCTAGTTTGTGATTGTTAATCTTAATTGTTTCCTATTTGCTGCTGATTGTTGTTTACATATTATACAGACGGGGAAACAACAGTTTCATTGTGATGATTGTGGGATCTGCAGGTACGTTGGCTGTGTTTGAGTAAATCCTTCCATTATTTCCTGAGTTGAGTTACCCAAACTTATGACTTGCAACTATTTTTTGGTGATGTAATTGGAAACAGAGTTGGTGGTCGTGAGAATTATTACCACTGCAAGAAGTGCGGTATGCATTCACAATCTGGCCACCATTGTGTCTCTATTGTTGTTGCTTTAGCATTTTTTTTTTTTTTTTAAATTAGATTATGCTGCAAATTGTTAGTTTCCTTCCATATTAATAGCAGATTCAATTCTTTCCTTCCTTTGCTTTTCTTGAACTTGTCACTGCTTTATCTATTTCTGTGAGTTGCATAAGGTCATATTTGATGAAACTAAATAATAATAATCAGTAAAATTTACACGGTACATGAACTGACAGAATCATAGAATTACCGAACTTGCTATCAGCCTCTTAATGACACCAGATGATCAAGAGCACTACTGGGGAGCCAAAAGTGGCACCTCAAAAGCAAAGCATTCAGGATTTGGTTTCCAAATTCAAAGAATATATTTCAAATTCAGCCCTTGATCTATGGGGTTTTATAATATTTTGAACAGATTATTTCCATTGTGCTATAATATTCACTGAATTCCTCTATGATGGATTGTTTTGTTTCTTTTGGTATCTGCCTATCTGGAGTCATGTCTAATAATCTATCGCATTAGTTACTGAATTGAACTATTTTTTATTATGTTAACAAATCAATTGCTTAATACTGATAGGGTCTTGTTATTCAATTGGTCTGCGCGATAATCATTTATGTGTGGAGAACTCCATGAGGCATCATTGTCCAATTTGTTATGAGGTGCGTCTTTTATTCCTCTTCTTCCCTGGCTCTCATTTTCAATCAAGCAAGGATTTTCTTTGTGTTTTTTGAAACATGAGAGTATTCTGATCTGACTTCACTATGTTTGTGTAGTACCTTTTTGACTCATTGAAAGACACTACTGTTATGAAATGTGGTCACACAATGCATTGTGAATGTTATCAAGAGATGATACAGCGTGACAAGTGAGTATGCTAACTATTTGAGAAATCTTTGGTCTATAAAACATTATCACTGCTTAAATATTGGCTTTGTATATGGTTTAGGTACTGTTGTCCCATATGCTCCAAATCCGTGATTGACATGTCTAGTACATGGAAGAGAATTGATGAAGAGGTAGCTGGTTAAATTAAAGTCTATAGATGCTTTCACTAGATTTCTTGGTTTTTTTATGGTGCAATTATCTGGTCAAGAATATTACTTGCAGAAATGTTCTACTACAATTTTGATTTCTTGTTTGTTTTTCCTATATTAGATTGAAGCAACTGTCATGCCTGATGATTATCGGTATAGAAAGGTAAAATTTTATTCTTTAAAAATAAAATTGCTTGTTTAATATGTGCTGCCTCTGTTTATCTCCATTCTAAGGCATGAAATGTGCTTGAGTATGAGTGCACCTTTTGTCCTTTGTGCCTATGGAGCAAAGAACACCATGCTGATTTTATATGAAAAGAAAAAATACGATGAGTTAAACTTTTTTTTGTGAAAGCCTACTTATTTAACGTTTGGATATGCCCTTCTAATATGTATTATTTGGATGGGTTGAAATGATAGAGTGCTACTTTACATATGAATTACACATGTATACATCAAGGTTCTATCAGAAAACTAAGCAGCGTCCATTGCAGGTTTGGATACTCTGTAACGACTGCAATGACACAACCGAAGTTTACTTCCACATTATTGGGCACAAATGCGGTCACTGCAGTTCATATAATACTCGTGCTATTGCTCCTCCTGTTCTTCCTCAATGACCAAATTCTTGAGTTTCTGAGATAGATTTTCCCAGGGAGTAAATTAAAGATGTGACCCAATTATTGTAAATCCTTATTTAATTGATCATCAAGATCAATGATGTATTGTGCCCTGTAACTTTTCTTAGGTTATTTTTCCTCCACCATATGGAGTGGACTATTGAGTTAGTATCTGAGTCATTAGCCTGATATAAACATTTGTATACTGTAATATAGGGAAAACTATTCACCCATCATACCCTGCTGGTAATTGTGTTTTCTAGTGATGTATTTATATTGGAGGATGGATTGATTTGTCTTTGCCGTTGAATTTAATTAACACAACTCAATGGATTCCTTCCTTGCACAAATCAGCTATATGAAGTAGCCTTCATAAAAATTATTTGTTATTGATTTGTTATGTTGCTTTATCATATTTTGTTCCAGCGGGTTTGTGTGAAAATACAATGCCAATTATCTATAAGAACAATCTCCTTCACATTTGTTCACTGCCATAAATTGATCTGCATAATCAAGCAGAATATCTTTAGAAAGTGAAATAAACAGGATTTAGTTTTTAATTATTCTAGTAAAGGCAACATAGTTTCTGGTGGTTTTACTTTTATGATGCTTCTGCAATGTGATATGGCCCCATTTTTTCAGCCTGATACGTGGGTTATAGCAATGACAAGGTTGCTCCTTGTGATTGTTAGGTCACGGTTTGAGTATGAGAAATAGCTTCTTTGTAAAAATGCAAGGGTATAGGACAAGGTGGGATAAAAAATGTGAAAAACAAACGAATTCTTGAATAGCATCAGAATGGAGGGATACTGATCGGATGTCATACCTAGAAAACTAGTCTTGTATTAACAGCAGGGATAAGAGAATTTGACTGAGAATATATTGTTAATAGACATTGTAAAGAACCAATTCAACTTAAAAGCTTAAGCTGATGGGTGAGGTTACATTAAAGATTTTATATATCTTAACACGCCCCCTCACACGAGAGCCCACTGGGCTTGAAGGGTGGACAATGCACAGGCCCACCTACCTATGTTAAGAAATTTCACAAGAGAAAGTGGGAGGCGGTGAGGATCGAACCCGGGACACGAGGCTCTGATATCATGTTAAGAACCAATTCAACCCAAAAGCTTAAGCTGATGGGTGAGGCTATATATCTCAACAGACATTATCAGAATGTAGTAATAGTATTTATTAAGGAAATGGAATTTGGGCAGGCCACATAAGTCAAAGTTCTTCTCGAAATATTAAAAAGTATGATTGTCAATATGTTATGCCATACAATAGGACGTGAGATATGTTGGCCTTGAGTCCACTAGTGCATGTGGCCGGCTCACTCGATGACATTCTATTATTAAGTTAATATGTTTTTACGCCATTTTCCTAAGAGATATTCATACTGAAGCAGAAGTTCCGAGAACATGCACACAAGTACAGTCAAGATTATCCGTTGTTCCTTGGTCTTGACAATTTTTCTAAGGTAAAACACTAGTTTGAACGAATCTCTGAAAGGAATTTAAACTAGCATTCAAATTTACACTTTTATAACATTTACTCCTTTGTATTTCTCTCATCTTCTCTTCTACCAATAACACCCTTGATTGCCAATTTATTCAATCATATTTCTCATCTATATTATGGGCATTATAAAGGGGATAGAAATCAACTAATGATTGTTATATATGTACATATTATACATGAATGGCACATAGGACAAGTTAGCCGTATTGCTGATCACATACACCAACTAACAAGCAAGTGTTCAAACAAGATCACTTAGCGTGCAGGGAACTCTAGCTCTTTTGTTTTTACACCCTTTTGGTTCAATTGCTTGCCTCAAAGTTCAAATCCATCTATATAAGCAAATAGGTTAGTGCTCAGTTATAGTCTCCTGCTTCTCTCAGTTGCAAGCTAGTCCCACTAAGTTTACTACTAGCACTTGCCATTCAAATCATATTCAGTAGCTACCTTTCAGAGTACTTTATGGCTTCTACAGAGGCTGAGTACAAATCATCTTCAACTCCACCTCCTCCTGCTGGGGTGGATTACTTTAAATTCGATGTGATCCTCAGATTTCTTTTGTTGGGGGCATCAGTGGCGGCTATTGCAGTGATTGTCACTAGTGATCAAACTGTGATAGTGAATTTCCTAGGCATGCCTGTGCCACAGCCAGCCAAGTTCAAATACTCACCAGCTTTTATGTAAGTTGATAATTATTCAAATTCTTTGCATATTTTCTCCGTTTATTGCAATTCACTTCTTTCAGGCAAAAAGTCCTTCTAAGTGTCTGCTTTTTATATTTGGTTATTTTCAGTATGATATAAAATATCTTGATACAAAGAAAATCAATGATGAAAAACCTCTACGAATATGAAGTGTACTTACCCTTTTTAAGATCAAAACGTTCCTTAAATGCTGGCCTTTCTTTAGTATGTAAGTTTTATAGAAAAAGCAAACCTCATCTTTCCATTAACTGCTTTGCAAGTAAAAGTTAAAAATCCACGACGGCTGTGCTTATGACAGTTTTTCTTTTTTGGGGTTATTTTTTCTCATATTTTCCTAATGCCATGCTCCTCAAGTTTTTTTTTTTTCATTTTTAATTCAAATGTCCAAAGTCTTCCATTCACATACATTTATTATAAAGCCTCAATCTCGTTGATGCTTTTTTTTTTCTTTCTGTCCAAGTCTTCTGAAGACTACTTGTTAAGATTTTTAATTTGACATATAAAATGATATGCATGCAGATATTTTCTGGCTGCATTCTGTGTTTCTGGCCTTTATGGCCTCATATCTGCTCTTGCATCGATCTCTGTCATCCAAAAGCCAGAATTCAAATTGAAGTTCCTCCTTCACTTTATCTTCTGGGATGCGGTAACTAATCAAATAACCTTTCTTTTCAATCTTGACCTTGCTCTTCATCCTCTCTTCTAAATTATATTGCTTTATATAACAAAGTATATCAAATTAAGATAAATTGTTTACCATGACATTGTGCAGCTGATATTGGGGATAATAGCCTCAGCAACAGGTTCAGCTGGGAGTGTGGCATATCTCGGTTTAAAGGGAAACAGCCATGTGCATTGGACTAAAATTTGCAACGTCTATGGCAAGTTTTGTAGGCATATTGCTGGCTCCGTAGCAGTGGCTTTGTTTAGCAGCATTGTGACTGTCATGCTCATCTGGCTTTCAGCTTATACCATTCACAGTCGGGTCCCTAAGTAGATAGAAGCCAGGAATATGGATCCTTCAGCATATATATATATATATGCACTCAACTCCAGAGTCACATTGTTCACAAAATCATTCAGTGTGTCAATATCTATGGATTGACTTGAATAACTTTTGTGTTTGTGAGTGTTTTCTTCAGAGGTATTGAGTATTTGAAAATGATGTGTATTTTGCATTCTGCTCCCTCAAAAATAAAAATAAAAATGAAAAGACTTGTATGAACACTACTAAATCTGCCAACATGACTTAAACCTTCATCTGAAATTGGAGAAGGTAACTTTGGTAATGCCTTCTCATTTTATGAGGTGTAGGCGTGTAGCTAATAATCAAGTTGGTTAACTTTGATATGCCGGTTGGATAGATTCCAATATTGTCAGGCAAGTAAGAAATAATACAGTATTAAAAGTAACAGCAGGGTGAGGACACCTAAATACCACATATTGATTTGTTAATTCATCCAAGGGTGGTGAATTGCGATACGTATCGAGTATCGTTTGGCTGATCTTTTGTATGATGTATCGTAAATGTATCGAATAGTAAGATACAAACATATAATAAAAAATAATTTAAAAAGATATAATATAATTAATAGCATATAAATTCAAACACTGATGCACCGACACACGTATTTTAGAAAAAAAATTGTGTCGGACATCGACACGCTCCGACATATTTTGATACGTGTTTGACATGCTGTCAACATTTTCCGACACGCAGTCAATACTTTTCGACATGGTCAACGTCTTCCGACACATTTTTTTTTAAGATTCAAATTTTATTTTATTTTATCTTTTTAACTAAGTATCAAAAATTAATTTATAAATCAAATATTTTCTGTTATGAAATTTGACATAAAATTTAACAAGGCATGAAAAAATTATTTTTGTTTTATATTTATGTTATGGAATTTGAATATTTGATTATTTATGTGACTTATTATGAGCTATTGTATGTATTAAATATAAATTATATTATATATATTAAAACTATTATTTAATATCAAAACGTGTCCTAAAGTGTCAAAATTTTAGAATTAATATGTCGGTGTGTCGTATCGTGTCGTGTCCCGTGTCGATGTCGCTGCAACATAAAATCCAAATTCTAAAAAGGATCCAATAAGCAAAATACATAAGTAACTAAAGTGCAAACCAGATATTCTCCTACTCATCAATCATTAAGACTAATATTATCACTAATGCCATTATCGAGGACCTAAAAAATCAATATATACATAACAACATATATAATTACATATCTAAATAAATTAGATAAGGCATGTGACTAAAAGAAACTTTATTCCTTAGATATTGAAGAAATTTAGAATATTTATTTAATTATTTTTTTTATTAATACAGATTTTTCAGATTGATTTTTTAGTTTAAATCATATCTTTATTTTTTTTCCTTATTAATAATAATTTTTTAATTTTTTTAATTTATTAAATCGCAAATCAAATCTTTATTTTTTTATATTAAAAATTACAAATTTTGATTTAATTTTCGTATCGTATGTTGATGTTGATGAAACATTTATCGTATCATATCGTAAAATACAATTAATTTGGGATAAATGTGTTGTTGATGTTGATGTTGATGAAACATTTATTGTATCATATCGTAAAATACAATATCATATCGTTCGATGCAATCTCTTTTCTGATACAGTCCATGATACATATCGCCGACGTTATGAGTCGTATCGTATATCGTAAGATACTGATAACTATGAATTCATCCATCACATTTATTTATATTTTTTTGCACATTGATTTTCATGGGTAATAGGTGCTTTAAAAGATGGTTTAGTCAATCCATTCTGAATAGGATCTCAATTTGAGTTATCAATTGGCAATAGTAACTACACATATAAAGAACCACTTCAACCCAAAATCTTAAGGTGTTAGGTGGGGTAGCCTTTTTAATGATTTATATTATTCTTTAACACACCCCTCACACAAGAGCCCTTTGAACTTGAAACGTGAATATTATACAGGCCCAATTTTTTTGTTTACCTTGAACTTATTTTGATTCCACTCGAAACTAGGAGACGGTAAGAATCAAACTCATGACCTTATAGTCACTTAATATCATGTAAAGAATCACTTCAACACAAAACTTTAAAGTATTGGGTAGTGACTTTTTTAATGATTTATATCATTCTTTAACAAGTCTCTCGGCAAAATTGACGTAGTATTATATTCAAGGAAATATGAACATTACATTTCTATACACTCATCCCGTTCTTTTCCCAGAACAAATCTGAACTTGGTTTTAGGACATCAAACTTAACTGCCGGTAGCAATAAGCAATTTATTAACAGGGGAATGGTAGTGCTGTAATGCAATTGAAGAATGAATCTTCAAAAAGGCATTTCCAGAGACTTGAATATCTTTCAACAATGCTAGAACTTGTAAATATTACAGTGACTCTGGCTGAATACATGCATTTACAGAAACAAAACTGGTTGCTCTATTATATGACCTATTGGGTTCATGCTTATTTAACCACAACCATGTTAAAATATTGTTTGCTCACCTAATTCCTGACCAGCCATCCCCTCCCTGAGAACCATTGCAAAAAACTCTTCCAATGTATCATTCCCATAGCTAGGTGTCTTCTCAGCACTATACTCTCCAGTCTCGGGGTCCAAAAGCAACATACTTTCAGCTGCATAGTACCTTCCAATTTTCCCAAACTCAGCAGCATCTTCCAGTGAAGGAAAGATCTTAACCAGAAAGTCAAGAACCCCAATGGCAAAATCCATTATCCCTATTGGAACTTTCAAGAACTTAGGCTCCTTCCCCAAAAGTTTAAACAACATTTCCCCTTGTTCCAATGGTGTCAATGCCTTCCCTGGCCCTCCAATTGGTAAGACCCTATTAATTTTGTCCTCACTTAGCACACAATCCGCAATAAAAGAAGCCAAATCTGGCTCACTCATAGGCTTACAAGCACACAACTTTCCATCCCCAAACATTACGTATGGCTTCCCATCCTTCACAAACTCAACCTGACCACCCAAACTCTTAAAAAAAGCAGTTGGTCTCACTATGCTATAAGTGAAGCCATCATCCTCTTCAGCTTCCTTCATCAGCTCAGCCTCAAATTTCAGCTTGGCACGTTGAAACTCAAGAAGGGGCTTCTGCACACATATTGCTGAAAGCAACACAAAATGAGAAGCCCCAAGCTTCCTACCAGCAAGAAGGCTATTCTTTGTTGCCTCATAATCAATCTTCCATGAGTCCTTCACCCCTCCATTTCTACTAGCAAGACATGACACTACAACATCAAATGAAACCCCTAAGCTGTTCAAAGATTCCTCAAAAGTATCCAAATTAGTCACATCTGAGAAGCACACATTGGCCCCTCTTAACTGAGCCAAGGTTTCATCCTTATCATTGCTGCCCTTAATTCCACTCCTCTCTCTAGCAATGGCTATAACGTTAAAACCTCTTTTAACCAACTCTTTCACCACAAATTTTCCAATATACCCAGTTGAACCCACCACCAAGACGTTAACATCTTTTGGGTTCTTGTTTCTATATGTAGATGGGGTGGTCTCAACAACTTGAGATGGTGGCAGAGAGGCATAAAGTTTCAATCTTTCCCTGCTAAACTTAATGGGTTCATAAGGAGTTGAGCTTACCCTGAATAGCTTGATGAATTGAGAAGACTCTGAAGAGAAACTTAAGGAAAGCCTTTGATGCTTAGCTGAGTGGAGTGTGATCAAATTGGAAGAATAACAAAGGGACATTTTCCCAATTCCTTCAAGTTATGCCAAAAGGGTAAGGGATGGTGTTTTAGAGATGGTAAAGGGCTCACGGTTAGATTGAGAAGGAGAATAAACAGTGCAAATTACATGAAGAAAATTATGAGGTACAAGGGAAACACATGCTCGTTAACTTGGCAATGAACTAGCCAGAGAGGGAGAGAACATAATCCAAATGGATGGTCATGATAAGATGATGTGGGGATATCATTACTCTCCTTGAGGTTGAGCTACGCAGTGGATGGGCCATGGGAGCAACAGGTTTGAATTTTTTTCATTTTTTTTTTTCGTCGCGCAGAAAGCTTTCTTCAATTTCTCTCACATTATTTTGTGTGCTATACTTTTTTTTAAAATGAAAATAGTGGATCTTTATTTTTATTTTTTCTGTTGGTGACAGATATTTGCTCTCTCTGTCGCTGGTACAGAAAAATAAAATTATATATATATATATGTTAAAAGATATACAAAAAATGATTATTTTATAGAGTTCATTAAATTTATATTTATATTTTTTCCCTCCTATGACATGATATGTATTATTATATTAATAAGTAGGAATGGGTTATTTTATTTATTCTTTTCTGCCTACTTTGTCTATCACTCATTAACACCGTTAGAACAGAATTTAAAGAGGAGAAAGAAAGATAAATGTTAATTAAGTTTCTGAACAAAACTCAAATATATAAAGGCACAAATTACTGACCTACAAATATAAGGCTAATTTGTAAAGAGCTGAAATATGCTTAAATAACATGCTTTGGAACAGCAAAAACGTAAATTTAGCTAAGGGAAATTGTGGAAGATCTTCATAAGGTTAATTTGTAAGTTATTTTGAGAATGATTTCTTTTTTGTGCATTGGTGTAAAGAATAATGCTATAACTACTCGTTAAAAAATAATTATAATTTTATCTTTATATATCCATTCATGTCACCATTTTTTTTTTTTTTTTGGGGTAGAGCCATTAGGGTAAATACTCTTTTACTTCTTGTATAAATTATTAACTAAATAAATCAAGAAGTTGGAAGTACTATGGAATTTGCTTTAACAATGGAAGTCATTCCAAGAAGGCAAGTTAATATGTTTCATTATTTAAGGTGTTCAGCAAGCAATGCTTGTCTTCAAACAAAATGATACACATATGTCCATGTGTATTATGCCCTTGTCGCTGTTAAGTTACTTGTTCACCTTCTAAGAAAATTACTATTGTAGTTTCTGGTAGAGGATTGGATACATTCAAAGCAAAGATAATAGTAACTAACAAGGACAACAACTAATCTGCTAATGCATCTCATGTGCTTACCCCACCACAGCAATGCTAAAAATTCCTCTCAAGTAAGAGTATACATGCCAAATAGTATTGGTAAATATCAAATTGAGAGTTTCTGTTTCCACTTAAAAACTGATTAATGATAATATTTTCTATACGATGTCAACATGGAGAAAATATTGAATAGACTTGATTTCAACACCAAAGATACACTCAGCAGTTAATCAAATGGTCTCAAGGAAATGAGCAAAGCTAGAGTACTTGGGCTCCCACCCTATTTCCTGGCGTGTTTTGGAGTTGTTTAATCTCTTTCCAAGGGGATCATCAGTTCCTGCAAACGCAAGATACAAAGGCATTATGCTTTCACAATCAGTAATGACACAGCAACCCCCCATAAGAAAGGGTGTTATTGGTTCATTAATCTACCACTCACAATCAAAAGATTATCTACCTGTAAACTTCTCAAACTTTTTACTAAATTTACCACTTTTGTTGACTAGATCCATCACTTCTTGCCTGCCAATATGTAGAAGAAGTGAGAGAGTTTTCTGTTTTCAAAATAGAGAGAGGGAGAGGAAAAGAAGGAAACAATCGCATATATTGGCATCACTGCCTAAAACACATAATAGCAATAGTTGGGAACATATCTGAGAAAGAAAGAAGCAATTACTGTGTCCATTATAATAGTTACAAACTTAAGGGAAAGCATGTAACCTGGATAAAGGATGATTATCACAACCCAAGAAAATCCGTCCCCGAAATTTTTTCTTCAAAATTGCAACAGAGAGGGAAGCTGCATCCTGGTTTGAAAGCGGCACATTAAACAAAATATTCAACTTTTCATCTTAACAAATACTAAATGACCAAAAGTGGATAAGAAAATGCAATGTTTTAGAGAAACTATCACCAGAAGTTCGTTTAGGAACTAAAATTGGTGTCATGGAGAAATACCAAATATTAAACAAAATGTGAAACTATAATGGGAATAGAAAAAGCACATAAACAAAACAATCTTCAGCTGACAAACCCGGACAAAATGAGCTTCAATACCTCAATATATGTTAAAACAGTTTTAAAGATGCCAATTGCCAAATATAAATAAAACCATTACCATGTTGACAATAACTAAAATAAGATGCAAATGAAATTCTGACCTCATAATGTATAAGATTCAGGATATGATCAGGACGAGATTCAACAATCCCCTTCTCTAACCAATAAGCATGTGCACCTTGATCTTCTTTGTTTAAAAAGTCAAGGTTGGCATCAGGTATAAACATAATAGAAATAACCACCCAGATGAATGGATATTTGAAATCCCAGCAAATTGAATTGTGAAAAGGATATATAAAGTCCAGACAGTCTCACAACAGAACCACCAAACTCCAGCACAACATTTTCAGCTTTTAAAAGGACATCAGTCCTGGGGCTTCTTCCAATAGGCACGACTGGAGTATCCTGCACAGTAGTAATTCTAATCCTATCAGCAAGACTAATTGACAGAACATGGGAAGCATGATTCTACAATGTTATAAATCTCCATATGATGAGGGAAATAAGTGATGGGTAATGGCACAAATTAAGCAATCAAAACAAGTTTAAACTAATATTTGGATAAAGAAAAGCGATGCAGACAATAACAATCTCTTTGTTTCAAATTCAAACTCCCTAATTTTGAAGAAGAAAAAAAATGAGAGAGAGAGCAACAAAAGAATGTTGAACACCGACCTCATCACATAATCCATTATCGTTACAATCATAAGGAGCAGAGCTTGATGTAAACAGGAAAGAACCTTCACCATTCCAGCATAATGCAGCTTGCCTGATTGGTTGACAGTTCACAAAACATAAGTTTAGAAGAAAAACACAACTTGTAAAGTGATTCAGTTTTCCTTTTTCAAAATAAATTTCAGTTTTTTCTAGAATTCTTAAGAAGATCAACAAGTATACACACAACAGTTAGTCAATTCCGTTCCCAACAATGAAATTTGGCCTTTATCATACTTTTCTTACCTCCATTTTTGTTTCAATTCTGAAAAAGCACATTACCCCCAGATTGTGTCAAGTGTTAACAAGAATTTTTGAAGAGGTTTTGATGATGTCAACAATGGGTACAAGTTGAAGATCAAGTATTGAAGAGCATCAAGGCTTAAAGGAAATAATATGTTACACTTTCAATTTAATGATACATATGTTAGTATTGCTCTTTAAATTTTTTTCAACATCATCACGCATTAGGAAAGCATTTAATTTGTTTTTTTTTTTTTTTTGTAGATAACCTAGAGGTATCCCCGCACAACCTCCTCCAGTCACTTTGTTCTCGAAATACGACCCCTAAGGCTAGTTCCTCATTAAGGGTGTATTGGACCACGGTTTCTCTCTAGCTCCAAAAAATTCCAAGAATTTGATTTTATCAAGATTTAAACCCCTGACCAAAACAAACCCTTGGGCACTCAGTTGCCAACTAAGCTACCCTTGGGGGTTTTTTAATTTGGTTTTAGGGTAATATTTCTCTCAAGTTGCATAAGAGAGAAATATTTTCCTACACTCACATAGTCACATTGATAATTGAGCTACTATTTTATTTTTTTTCTCTCTCTTGGTGTGGTCCCACAATTGTATGTGAGTGTAGGAAAATATTTCTCTTTTATGCACCTTGAGAAAAATATTACCCTTGGTTTTATATGTTGCTTAAGTCATGCTTAACATAACATTAAAAATAACTAGTGATTAAATTAAATAACAATAATAATAAAATTAAAATTTAATAAAATACCCCTATTACTCTCATCCGCCATTAAAACAATTTTTTTTTCAAATCTCATAGAATCAGCTTTATATTCAAAATTTAGTTTAAAAAACACAATGGGTGTAGTTCAGTTGTCAACATAGGCTGAGTAGGTGGGGAGACAACCTAGATTTAATTCCAACCAAATACATCTTTGGGGAAGGACGAGAAGCTTTAACTATGTCTAAGTCCCGACTCGGGATTAGTCCTATAACCAACTCAAAGAGTTGAAGTTTGTGGGGATACCGAAGGCTGACTTACCTCAAAGAGGTAATTAGGATCGGTCTACCAAAAAAATTTCTTTTCAAAAATTATCTATTTTATTCGAGCATCTTTAATTACCAAAATCACCTAATCAATGTCATTTGTTCTCTTATCTGTTCATATCAACATAGAATTAATATTATACTCAAATTTATTTCTAAAAATATCTCTCTTTTATTCATTCATCTTTAATTTTGAAAATCACATAATCAATACCATTTATCCTCTTACCTGTTCATATCAACACATAATCAACATTATAGTATGACAAGAATCTCTCAAATATTTTAATCAATTATTGCACTAATACCTGAAAGAAGTCCTCCTTTATTAACCAAAAATCTTTTATTTTTCTTGTGTCTCTGTGTTGATACTTCATTTAAGCAAAAACCTTCACCATTTTTAAATATTCAACTCTCTCCAAAAATTACATGCAAAAAGCGCCCCAAAAATTTCAGATCAAATTTTTGAATGAAACCAAGACTCCTCTTTTGAAAAAAAATTTGTAAATTGCAGTTGAGTAAAACAAAAAAAAGGAAAAGAAACAATTATTGAGAGAGTTCATGAGAAACTATGTAACTGAGGGCTTGAGAGCTTTAATCCGTGAAAGTTCTTGAGAAAGCTCGTTGATATTGTTGGTTCTAGTTCGTTCAAAGTAAGGGCTCTCCGGTCTTGGTTGATTTAAAGGAAAATCATCATAAATTTGTTGGTTTCATTCGTGCTTTGTGATCTAGAGGTGCTATCTTGTCTTTATTCTTGGTGATTGACTCTTAGTATTGATTAATCAATTTTGTGACTCAATGTATTTAGATTTTGTTGGATCAATTCTTTCTATTATAACTCATATTTTGGATCCTGATTGAATGCTTATATTCACTTTTGGGGTGTTTGTAATTTTTGCTGGTTCATGCATTGTGGTTAATTGGTTTGCCTAAATATCTTGAACCAAATTCTTCAATTTTTGAATCCTTTGGACAACATATTGACCTAACCTTGTGTGATCATTTGAAGTGCTTATTTTGTCACTGGTTACCGGATCATAAATAGTAATTATCATAAAATTCATTTTTCTTTCATACCCATAAATTTTGGAGCAATATCATTGTGTATGTTTAAATCTTGACGTGATTAGGACTGTATTGTTGTTATTTTTGCACATAGAGGTGCTTATTTTCTTTATATCTTTCTGTCGTCGAATTGATCATAGGTTGTATAGTTTGTTGATCTATTGACCCTATTTATGTAGTCTCGGATCAAGAGCATCTTCAGCATTTGGCTGGCTCGGCTTGAGAAATCTCAAGGCTTGGAGCATAGAGCTGTCCTAAGTGAGGGTAGGCTCAAAATAAGATCAAAAAGTGACGTGCACATTGCCTTGATTCTTTGCTTAGCTTGAGAGTGATCTCTTGGAGTTTGGAGCTAGTGTAGGGTTCGATGGAACTACTTTGATATAGGGTAATTCATAGGTAACCACCACTAGGATTTTGTTTGAAAGTTGTTTGATTGTAAAAACACTTTGACAAAAGTTAGTGGTAACAAATACCTAATGTTTTATTGCCTAGGAAGTGGACGTAGCCTCCTCATTGCACAAAGGGGTCATGAACCATTATAAATTTGGTATGTGATCCTCTCATCCCTTATCTCCATTTATATATGTTGTTATTGTTGAGCTCCATTGGATTATTTTTTTAAACAAGAATCTTGATTTATTCTTCATATTCATTGTCTCGATTCCAGCAAGTTAAATTGAGTACGCTGTCCAATGATTGTTGATTAAGCAACCTATTGCAATCTTGAGTTTTTCCCGACTATTTTGATTACTCTTTGTTTTGGTTATATTATTAAGTTTCTGCTATAAGTTATTTTAATTACACTCTATTCTCTTAAGCTTCCATACCAAAGGTAACTCTAATTTTATATTTCTTGTGACCATTTGGACCTTATCACATAACCTATAATTGAAATTGAAATAGTTCACATAAGTTAATTGACACATCCATCCAATCTAATTGTGCACTAAAGTCAACAAATGCCAAAGATATCTTTAGGTGTTTGAGTTGTATCGAACTTGTTTAGAAGATAATTTAAAACAACTCTGTTCACCCCCTCTAGAGTTGTGTTATCTCCTCCTTGTTAGAAGTCACTTACCCAACAAATACAGCCGTGACATACAAACATATTAAGATATTTATAGATATCTCTTTGAGAAAGCTTTTCGGATTCAGGAACAACACCAAAAACAACACTAAAATAATATTCAAAGCATAATCATAAATGCTTTTTCACTAGTTATAATACAACCCTAATATAAGAGACTAGGGAGGGTAATCAAGCATAATGGTAAAATTGGTATAACAAAATACACAGAGTTAATATAAACTTTAATACAACATTTGGATGCATCCGAAATGGATTGCCAAAAATCATCATCAGAGGATGAAACTTTTAACCGAATTCAGCAGCATTTTTTGAAAGCATGCTTCCCATATAAATTATGTTTGCATGATGATATGTTTCCCAATAATTCTTATGAAAGAACTTCACAAATGCAGAGTATTTATTCTAGAAATCTAACAAAACAGTATTGTCATCACAAAAAGGAAGGTTCACATCTTGAATACATATCTGTACCCTTATTTCATACACATGATGGTTAATAGAAACGTTGAACTTATTTCACCTTCTTAGCGGAAAATGTTCATATAAAGAAGATTAATTTACAAAGATTAATCAATACAAAGGTGCTTAACAGCTAAAGCTAACCAATTAAGAGCCTACACTAGCTTTACTAACAACCCAACAAAAAAATGAAGTTTTGGGATACATTCTGTTATGGACTGGATCCATATCCTAACAACCCTAATACTAGCAAGATTGAATAGGGATATCGCAACCATATAATCTAGAGAGGATCAAGGGATAAGATCTCTATCCCCATCAATCAAGGCAGATTTCATATGATCTCAAAGGCCTAAGCCTATGATGGTAATTCTTATAAATAAGAGGCTAAAGACCTCAGTACACACTTTTGACCTATTTACTATTACTGTCAACACTGTGCACACACACATGTCTTGGCTATAAGTCTATTGCTTGTGCGCAGTGATTGGAGTATTGGCTATAAGCCAATCAAAATATCTATTTCTAAGATATCTCTGAGCGCATACCTTGAGGTATAAGGTATCCTTATACGGTTCAATAGCACCGAACACATTCATAAGCAATGCACTAAACACAAATCCTACCAACTACACATCAAGGGATCAATTCTAAAGATTACTCACCTAACATCACCAGGGTAGTCTGAGGATTTGTAAGGAGGAGCACAGAAAATCACATAGGGAAATTTGTGCATGTCTTTGGTCCACTTCAAAGACGGATGAATACCCATTTTAATCAACTCCTCATGATGATCAGTGGTTACTGTTTGTCCAAAAACTTGACAAGCTGGATATTCCTATTTCAATAGAAACATATTACTAACAAATGCCAAGAAACCCGTGCAGCATTACATATCAAACAATACTATTCCAATTCCATACTCTCATGACATTATCATATTCCCCACAAAATCAACATGGAACAAAATGAAATATCATCAACAAAAATGTACCAGAGCTAGAGATAAACAACAAATAATTTGGAAAAGACAGAGATATGAAACATTACCTTCCGCCATTCCTCAGCCACCAAACGACCAAGAACCCCAGGACCCACGATGAGAAGGTCATGCTCTCCAAGTGCAAGAGAAGAGGAAGGCTCCAATTTTTCATTGGGTGCACCTTCTGAGACATGCAAATGGGTAGCCATCAAAGACAGAGATAAAGATAAAGGTGGTGACTTTAGCCTGGTTCCCCAACTGGGGTGTGTAGAGGATGAGAGTAACAAGTAGTTGGACTTAGAACAAAGGAACCCAAGAGAGTTACAGAGAGTTGAGAAATGCCCAAAACGCTGAAACAGTGTTTGTGTTTGTGGTTGGTGCACACAAACAGTGTTGGCTGTGAAATGGATAGTGGTTGTAACCAATCCCATCAAAAGCATTGATTTTTTTTTCTCTTCCCAAGATATCTGGACCTCACTCTTCTGACTCTGCAAACATCAAATATTATATAAATCGATGACTAAGTGAACATATATTATTATATAAAAATGCCAATTTTACCTACGGAGAACAAAAAATAAATAAAAATTTCCTATCCCGTCATTAATCCTACTTTGAATGTATAATTTTAATTTATTAGTTATTTCATCTGCTAAATATGAATAAAATTAATAATTAATAATAAGTATAACACTTACACTCATTCGAATTGATTCTTCTCAATCATAAAAACATTATAACAAATTTAAAGCTTTAATAACAATGTTGTAACTAGCTATTTGGAGTTCTTATTTTTAGCTTTTTTTCTCCTTATAATAGAAGATTAGTCAAACATAATCTTACCAAAAAAAATTATAATGAAAAAAAAGGTAAAAGCTTTTTGGAAAAAAAAAAAATTTTAAGATGCATAATAATTTTTTGGAACTCTTATATTTATTTTTCAATTATACTCTTACAAGGCGTTTGGTACGCGACTTTTATTTGAAAACTCGAGAAAGCATGGTAGGGAAACAAAGAATGTTGCGTTTGGTAGCTCAATTATGAAAACTTCCCAGCCAAATATCATTCCGAAAAAATGGTTCTGTGTGTTAACTTTGGTACTGTTTGTCAAATTAGAGATCTATAGAATTGGTGGAATTATTGAGTGTCCGGAATGTTGGATTTAGTATGCTCTTTTCACTTAAGCCCAATAGCTTTAGTGAGAGTGAGCCCAAAGTCTAATTTTAACCCATGAAGCTTAGGGTTAGTTTTGGATTTACAGACATTAGAAACACACCAAAGAGGCAGACGTTCATCATCTGAACGGTTGCCCACACGACCACCTGATCCCCTTGAGTTATAGCCTGGAAGATCGACCGTAGAGCGAAATTGCGACCGTTCGTAGTGCGTTGCTGCAGATCGTGAGGCTCGAGGAGGAGAACTGAACGTGAGAAATTGTCACGCTCGCTGCTTCATCCCAGGTAATCAAAGCGGTGTCTTTATCCTTCATCACATCGGTACGATGCGCTTCCGCGTTTCTCATGATATACCTTCATGTGGTATCAGAGCCGGATTGTGATGGGGATTAAGATCAGTTTTGATTTATTTATTTATTTATTTATTTTTCTATGTGATTTTGAAAATATGGCACCTTTATTCTGTATTTGTTATTGATATTCATGTTGTTAATTCTTTATAGTTTATTTTCATAAAAGTTTAAATTTTAATCGGTAAAAATGCTTTAATCCATGGTTAGGGTATCTCGTGTATTTCTCGATTTGTAACAAGGAGGCTAATTCCATATGATTAGGTTTCCTCCTTGCTATTTTTATTTATTTTCGGAATTTCTGTGTATTTTTCCAATATTTTGTAAAAGTTCAAGATCGAGAAACCACGAGGAAGATGCGCAGTCAGCACTGTCAGAGACTTTTCGAGGACTTCCTGATCTCAGAATGGGGCGATCTATATATGGTTGGAAAGAGGACGGAAATAAGAACGCAACGGTGGGTGGATCGCCGCCACTGGATCCTCCACGCTCTACCACAAGTGGCTGCGAGTGGCCGCCACTCTCCGTCAATGAATGAGAGCGCGAGGGAGCGTCCGGCCACCTTTTTGGGTGGTTCCGGTGGCGGTGCACTCGTCTCTATGTGGAGGTCCTTCCCATGGAGTTTCGACCTAAGTTGAATTTGGGTGACGGCGCGGCAGACCTGACGGCTAGGGTTCCTCTTTCGCGTCCTAGGGTTTCTCGCCAAAGGATTGGGTCTTTGGGCTTTTGGGCCCATGGAAACCCTAAAGGGGCTTGAGACAGATACTATGGGCTAGGCGAAAGTCGAATTCCAAAGTTGTAATATTTTATTTTTTATTTTTATATTTTCTTTAAAATAGGAAGGCCATGGATTAAAGTAATTAGAATCTATTATTTAATGCTTTTATTGATTGATATGAATTATATGTGCGATTAACATGATATTTGCGATAACATGTCATATAGTAAGGAAGGTGTCATTGTTGCATGATCACATTTCATATGTGCATATTTACTATTATGTCATTATCGACTAGTATGATAGTTTATGCGTGTAGTTTTTGATTTTAAATATTCTGGTAAAATAAAATTATGATTATTATGATTTTAGTAACAAAATCTAGATTAATGGTTATATTAATTTCGAAAATTAATTTAATTATTATGATTTTGGTAAAATCTAGAATAATCAAATTGATTATTTTTGGAGTTTAAAATCAAGACAATTAGTAAGAAAATTTTCTAAGAGAATTCTTTTATTTTGCGAGTAATTTGTGGGTCTACTAAAATGGTCATGTATTAAACACACGCTGCATACCACAATCATGTATCATGATTGTGTGAAGCACACGCTGCCTATCATGACCGAATTTTAGGACCTTAATGATTTCAAAATTCAGATAAGCTAAGTGATGCACGTTCATCAGCGCTTTTGCTTACATAGTTTTGAAATCAAACAAAGGATACTCTCAATTAAATAATTCTTGAAAATTAGAAAATATTGCTTATGTTGAATGGAAGGAGATTTAAATTAAGAAATTAATTTAACCTTTAAGCGCATTATAGGACCATTAATAAAATAATCATGTGAAGTCCCATCGAATAAGCATGATTGAATTTTATTAGATTGAACCTTAATAATTATGGGAGGAGATTCAAATTAAGAAATTAATTTAACCTCCAGGCGCATTGTGGGCCTATCAATAAAATAATCATGTAAGGCCCCAACGGATAAGCATGATTGGATTTTATTGGGTCTTAATAATTTCAAAATTTTAATAAAGTATTGTACGACCCATCGTCGATAATACTAAGTTATTAAATATAATTTTGAAATTAAACAATGAATTCGACAAGGCTTATAAAAATTCTCAAACAAAAATGTTGAATGGGTGAAGGTTTTAAATTTTTTTTTATTAATTTTAAAACATGCGGGCTGCAATTGTGGGTTTATTAGTGAATGGTTATCGCTGAAGCCTCATCGGATAAGGATAATCGGATTTCACTAGATTAAACCTTAATATTTTTAAAATTTTAGTAAAGTTTTGTACGGCCCATCGTCGGCAACACTTAGACACCAAAGATAATTTTGAAAGTAAACAATGGTTAAATACATTCAACTTTGGTAAAATTGTTAACCCTCTCATCGAGGCTCTTGGCAATGGCATTGAAGGCCCAAATAACAATTTTTGTTTTTACAAGTGACTTGCCCATCGTAAGCCTTGTAAAGATAAAGTGAATGATTGTTAACAATAAATAAGAGTAGTTATGAGAATCTACTTGTACTTCGTTTGTTTATTGCATTATTTGTTTGTAATTGTGTGCTTTATATGTTTTTTCAGAAAATAATTTCCTTCAATACTATAGCCATGATTTTGAGTCAAAAACCTATAGATGGAACTAACTTTGAAGAATGGAAAATAATTTTTATATTGTTCTAAAAACATGAAAGATAAAATTTGTCCTGACAGTACAAGGGCCATAGCAACCTGCAGATGATGCGTCTAAGGATGCAATACTCAGATTGAAGAAGGACAAATATGGTAGTTCGCTATTATGTTCTTGTCGGTCTTTTCAAACACTTGCATAAGCAAATATACATGGTTAAGAGCGGAGTAGAGATGCTTCAGACTCTTAATGACATGTTTGTTGTGTCTAGCAACTCTGCTAGACAGAATGCAGTTAACGCAGGTTTTGCTAAAAGTCTTGTTAAATCCAAGGGAAAACCCAAGGTGGTAACAAGAACAAAATAACTTGGTTATCAATCGTCAAACCAGTTGCTATGCAGAAGCCGCAAGGCAAGTTCTTCAAGTGCAGACTAAAGGGACACTGAGAGAAAAATTGCCCAGAGGTGATGAAAAGAACCAAACATGGGTATATCAAGGCCGGATCAGTGAATGAATCATTGATTCAGGAATCACTAATTATGTTTGTTACTTTTTGCAGTAGTTCAAACATGGTATGCCTGTCAGCAGTGGACAAACATATTTTAAGCTTGAAAATGAGAGCTTGTGTCTGCATTAGCAGTAGAACAAGTTATTTTATCTTTTGATAATTTATGACTTTAGTTTTGGATGACTGTTTAATTATTCCGGATTTGAAGAAGAATTTTATTTCTGTTAGTTGTTTTGTGAAAACATGATTTAATAGTACAATTTAATTCCTCAGTTTCAATAAGAAGTTCAACTTCTTTTATTCCGGTATATTAAATTGTCTTTATTACTTGAGTTATATATACCATTTAATTTATTATGTTGAATGGAAAGGATGATGAACAAGGATTTTCATCAAAGAAATAAAAGTTTCAACTGAAACATAACTTTGGCCTTTGTGATTGAGTCACATTACCTCAAGTAGGAAACATGTTTTAGTTAAAAGAGGGACTGAAAGTTCAAGAATCTTTTAACTAAAAGCTACATGTTAGTCCTATTTTGGAAGGTAAAACGGCCAAGCAATCCTACAAAGGGGCCAATAAGATTTGCGCAACTATTCAACTGGAACTGGTACATACTAATGTATGTGGACCAATTAGCGTTCAGACCAGAAGAGGTGATGAGTACTTCATTATATGAATGTTTACTCTGGATTTGGACAGATGAACCAAGTGCGCCATAAGTCTAAAGCTTTTGGAAATTTCCAAGAGGTTTAAGTTTGAGGCAGAAAAACATGTAGGTGTTCAAATCAAAACACTTTGGTCTGACTAAAGTGTTGGCTACCTGTCTGATAAGGTCAGGTCTTACCTGATTTAAGAGAGGATAGTTTTCGTAACTATCAATTCCAAGAACGCGTTAGTTGAATGAAGTTGCAGTATGCAAAAATCAAACAGTTTAGACTTGGTGAAGATCATGTTCAGTTATTCATCTTTGCCAATGTTGTTCAAGGGAGATGCCTAAGAGAAGGAAATGTACCTTCTTAACTTGGTTCCGTCAAAGTTTGTTGT